TTCAGGGTAGTTTCTCAAGCGAAAATGGAAAGAAAGAAGAAACGGATATCGCCTCGCGGCGATACAAACGACGACAGGCCAGAGTGGGCCAATCATCGCGAGTCTAATAATTGGCAAGAAAGAATGCGTCATACTTGCGAAAAAGTAAAAAGTATACATTAGTAAACTGGTGTGTAGAGTGGTAAACAAACCTAACGTTCAACCCCCTCCCCGCTGTTAGAAATCCCACCGTGTTATAAATCACCGTAAAAATATATCCGATTCAGCTACTTGACGATGTTAATTGCTCGAGTGAATTCGACTCGCAGAGTCCTTTGGGGGCTGGTTCTGGCATTCAGCACAACAAAACGTACTTGCCCCCGTTTTTTTTTTTTTTTTTTTTCGTAAATCGGCGAGACACGATGCCCAATCTAACTCAACGGCATTCGCTGTGTTGTAGAAAGCCGACGTTGAAATCGGTACATACTTCTCCAAGTCGATAAGCGTTGCCCGAGCGTTGCCGCGCGTTCGAAAAATCCCTCGAGTACGAGATCACGTTCAAAGCACGAGCAAAAATGGCACAGGGGGAACGTACGCGTCTAATTAGCCAGCGATGAGATCGGGTTCAGCGTGTAACTTGGAGATCTCATTGTCAGTAACAATAAGATTCGAGTACGATTCTTTTTCCCAAAGGGAAAGTTGAAAGTAAAAACTAGACAAAAATTCTTTTTTCTTTTTTTTCCTTTTTTTTTTCGGCTTCCCAAACTTAAAATTGATGAAAACTGATCGCATTTATTTCTCAATCTGTTTGAAAGTATCTAACACTTTTTTTCTTTTTTCTTCAAAATACTCGCTGGAATCTAGTCGTTCGATGTTCCAATCTACTTGCAATGTAGTCGAGCCTATCGCCAACAGACTCGCAATCTTTGCGAATTTGCAGTCGGACATGTCGCGACGTATTTCACTCGACCCAAATACGTGGGTGACTTACGCTCCAGCCCGTAAGATTCGAGTATAAAATAACTCGCGCAAATGCCCGTTCGATCGGCTCTGGAAAGTGAACGATAGCGCTGCTTTCTCATTCAATTTTCCGTATCAGCTCGATAGGGATTAAAAGTAAAATGGCAAAAATTCCTCGACGGATATATCCTTCGAACGTGCGCGAGTAAAGTGTAATAAGCGAGCACGAATGTCAGAAGCGACGTAAATCAACGATATATACCTTCCACCGTTTCGTGTTCCTACCGCGGTAATGTTCTCGCAGTTTAAAACTCGTCTTTCCAACTAATCCGTAAATTACGTTTGGTGAAATTCAAAATGCTACGAACCAGGAAATTCTCCACGTGTTCCCTAAAAAAGAGTTGGAATTTGATTCGTTTGATTCCGAATTTGAATCGTTTCGCGTAGAAACGCTGTTAAGTAGGGATGAAAATTTGACTCGAAACATTATCTGTCCTGTCGTACAAAAATATGTGGTGTCTAATGATCATTCTAATCGACGACGAAAAAAAATACTCGAGGCTTCCAGCGGCCTAAATTTGCAACAAATTGCGATACAGAGAAATTGATTATCAGAGATAATCACGTTGTAGCTCACTGCTGTACTTGTAACCTTGGCGAACTATGCATGTGTATAGCTGGTGTCTAACATAAGCGAGAGATGGTAATAGGAAATTTGCATACTCAGCGCGCTGAAGGCTCGTGCGCGGTAAATTCACTTCCGTGCATTAATTATGCAGCTTGATTTCACTAATAATTTACGGGATCGACGCGCCGTTACATGCACTTTGACATATTAATTCAGTTCCTTGTATGTAATTGATTGCAAGTCAATCACGCGTTCGTAAAACACAAGTATTGGATACTCTGAGGAAAGAGAATCGAAAGAAATCTCGCTCATGTTTCGCGAGTGTAATTAGTTTTGTGTGAAAGTAACACGCAACAAAGTTGGATGAAAGTAAATCGGCACGTGTCATTCGAAATTATTGTATATTGCGTTTTACTCGCGTTCATACTTTGATTCTCGTATCTACTTGCTCTGAAGAAATGTGCAATAGTAACATTGTAAGCTAACAGGAAACGATAAAGAATCGTTTTACATTTCCTTAAAATAATGTTTGTTTAACATCAAAGTTACTAAACTAGTCGAAAGTTAATCAAACTAATTTAATATGGTGTTGAGAAACTTCAATCTTCAAAGCCACGATGGATTTAACCGTAAATAAAACTTTCCACTGTTTTTATATACCGTGGAAATTTTTACAATTTCTCTCTTTTTTCTCTTTTGTCAAGAAAAGAACACTTTTCTATTTACACCAGCTACACGATGCAAAGATGTCTCAGGAGAGGAAAAAATGAATTCAAAACGATCAAAATAGAAGTATCGATAATTTTTCTTTTCAATTGCAAAACTGACGCTGGGGAAGAAACAGTTGAGAAAGGCTACAAAATTTTAGCTTCCTTTACACATCTTGCTTCCTTTTCTGTGATTCCACGTGCAAATATTCGAACGAAATATTACTCGCGTTAAAAATTTCACGCGTGTGTTCAGTTTTGTTCGTCACTGTACATATGCAAATCTCTCTCTCCAACGACTGTCAAACTGTTGGATCGAACGAACGCGTGGTACTTATGTGGTATATTTTTAGAAATACACGCGCCTTGGAGCCTCGAGCCAAAACGAGTTTTACCGCAGCCTTGTAGAAGAGCGGCGAAGACGCGGCGACCGCGACGCGTCGTTAATTGACAGGACGGGTTAGAGCCGCGCGGCCGGTCGCACGGTCGCGTGAATCGAACGCGAGTGGCTGACGCGTGCACGTGACGTGACTCGGTCACACTTTTCCTTCGTTGGTATTAACTCGTACACGAGGAGAGGTATACAACCGCGACTCTCTTTCTTTCCGTGGTTCTGTTTGCCGTGACGATCGGCTATACACAGCCAGCACGTGCACCAAGCACGTGGTACACGCCGCACGTGATCACGGCGGCTTTAGCGTGCTTATAGGGTCATTCTGACCTACTATTATTCTGCTCTACATTGTCGTTGTGCAGTTTCCCCGTCGAAGCCCGTTACTCAGATTTAACGCGGAGAGATAAAGTGAAATAAAAGCTTCGTGTATTCGGAGTCATCGCGTAGGATAAAAGTACGATGGTCACGTTAGTTTTTTTTCTTTTTTTTTTTTTTTTCAAATAAATTTTGCTGGCAACTCGACAATGAATCGTGAAATTGTGGAGTCAATCGAGTCTCGTCGGTCTTATCGTCGAACCAAATTTCCCTCGAAAAAAAAAAAAAAAATACATTCGGCAGACTTTGTCTAGCCGTATCTAGATTCTATCGTTATCGTATCACCAACAGGATAAAACTGACAACGGAACTCGTTCACGGACAGTGCACAACTTGCTCGACTCGTGACGTTTCCAACCGTGCACGCGAATCTTATCAGTCACCTCAAAGAAGGCACCCAAACGATAAATTAAACGCGTGGACTAATTACAAGCAGCAGCAGCGGCGTGCCGGAAATCCAACGTTCGCAGGTCTGAGGAACCTCTCGGAAAGTGCAATCTCAGTGTTTTACTTGTGATCTCCAGAGAAATTGTGTCGAAGAATATCGACGAATATCGTCGGGGCTCTCTTTTCAAGTGGAAAGCCACGCGTAATTGCACGTAAACTTAAAATAAGTTTCGCAAGTCTTAAGAAAGTTCCTGTGTTTCATGCAAAGGCGTTACGTAATGTCGCCGACTGATGAAAATAACGCCGACGAAAACAATGAAATCACCCCGCGATATATGGGTCGCTCGAAGGTTTCAAGAGAAGCGAGAAACGTTTCATGGAACGTCGGATATCGGAAGAGTTTGTAATTTTCTGTGGATTTTCTCTTTCTAAAGGAAACCTGTAATACGTACAGCTGCCATCAACTAAACGATGAACCAAGTATTCTAGGAAGGATAATTCACCCTGGCTTCACGGAGATCCGGTACGATTAGCAATGAGAATGCTCCATAAAATACGTTGATAGTTCAGAGTAAATGCGCGCGCGTAATTTATAGGTGTATATATGTTTTCCGGGCGGAAAAAAAGAGTTCAACGCTCAGGGAATACGACGCTCTGATATTCAAAAGCTTCACTTTCGCAGGCAAAAAAATGTGGGGATATTGCAGACAGCGTGCAGGGGACGTTTCTAGTTCCGTTTCGAGAAAGCAGGTGGGCGCGAGTTCAAGGTTCCATTGGAAAGAATAAAATGGCAAAAAGACCGTCTGTAACGGAATTTTACGGCAATAATTTTGAACGCTGTCACGTACCGAGGCTCACTCTGTGCGAGATTATCGCGATTAGCATCTGTAGAAGGAAGTGTTCTACTTTCGTGAGAGAGCGAAAGAGAAACGAAGAATGGGAAAAGGGTAGGGCTGTAATTGTCCGAGGTAACGGCGAACGCGAGAGGGAAGAGACGAAAGGGAAAGAGAAAGAAGAAAAGTAGCGAAGATTGACGCTCTCGGCTAGTTAATTGCGACGATTAGAGGTAGTGAAGTTTGTGGGATTTGCTTACCCAGCCTTTGTGTGCACTGAATCAAATTTACCGGCACGAAACAGCGTATGATAAATTACACAGCTATTAAGCTTATATATATATATATAGTATCTACACTTTTTAGTTCCGCGCTATTTTTGTTTTCATTTATACTCAACTGGTATTTATTAGCGTATTGGAAACAAGTCGAAATACATCTACCGTTGCGGACAGATTAAGATCAAATTTGTGCCAAAGGATAATGTACAAATACATCGTTATTTCTAGATTAAACAAACCGTCAAGCAGCAATTATAGTACCGACAAATGTCTCATTCACAAAAATCATACTTCGTATCCATTCTTTCCAAAGACAAGCGTGTATTTGGAAATTTCCATAAGCAACCCTTAAAACTAATAAATCCCTAAACTAAAAACCGCTTAAACACTTGTACTTTCAAACAAACAATAAGCTAAACAACATCAGAAACAGGAGAAAAAAGTTCGCTCGCATACCTGGACTGAGTCTTCCTTGCGGAGGGTATCCCAACACCTGTGTCCCGGTCAAAGACAAGACGATCAGAATTTTGGCAACTATCGTTTTCATTGTCACTGCTGACTAAGCTGCTGCTAATCACAAGTAGCCGGCGAACGTGATTGACGGCTCACCGAAACGCGAGGAACGGCGAGCGACGCGTAACTGAATGTCTGTGCCTTGGTTTATCGTTGATAAAACTTTGGGGATTTAGCGTAAAGGATTGGCCAATTGACAATGAAAGCCGGTGAGACGGTAGTCGGCAGAGCTGCTGCCGCTGTCGTACTGTGCGATAGTCTGGAGGGTCGGCAGGCGCTTTCACTGGTTTTATAGGTGCGCAGGAAAGCACTTCTTCTGGAAGGGGGGATTCTACGCGACTCTTTGATACGTCACGACAGCCTGCTCTATGGTAGAAGAATTACCGTAAAACGTGCGTTGATCTAACCATTTACGAAATTTTCGACTAACCGGTGATAGACGAATAGACGCAGACGCACGGTCAAAAGAAACCACCGCTCGCTTGTAAATTACGTTCGTGAAACTTCAATTGATAACTTCGATCTTCAAAACCAGAATATGAATTTAATTATAAATAAAATTTTTCATTGTTTCTACATACATTTGCGAATTTTTACCACTTGGGGAAAGAAACAATTTCAAGACAGGTAAAATAAAGGCTTAAATATGAAACCAATTAGATTGTTATATGATTCTATTTTTACAAAGTTGTAACAGTTTGAAGTATCGATAATTTTCCACTTGTGTTAATTGCGGTGTAAAACGAAAACAATTCATATCTGTCAGAATACTGGTAATAACACGATCTTAAAATTTTATTTTTAAACAGAACTACATATTTTGTTTTTTTTTTTTTTTTTTTTTTACTCTACATGCAGATATTCGATAAAATGTTATTTATATTAAAATTCGTGTTCAGTTTTGCTCATCATTATACACATGCGTATCGTGATTTTCTTTCTGTTCAATGTACATTAAATAACAAAATACACCTCTCATCGAGATTTCCAAAGAAAATAACTAGAGGTGTAAAATGTAATTGCACGTTTGTTTCAAAAAACAAAACAGCGAATTTTTATTGTAAAAATGAATTATTTACGAATAATTTCTTGAAAATCACGCACAGCCTTCAAGTGTTATGGATAACTGATTCGTTGATAAGACACGAGACAAGTAAAATAATAGAGAGTATGCAAACAAAGCATCTGACAGTTCAATGGAGGCGGTGGTTTCGTTGTTTCGTTCTCTTAACAATTTATGTCAGTTTGACATAGCGCTCTGCTCGTGCGACTTATCATCGCTTACTGGCTACGTATGCGTGTACGTGTGTATTACATAGGTATTTACTAACAATCGCGTTACCTCCGCCACGTTGATCGATCGTTAGGTTGCCTGGACATGAATTGTAGTTGAAGTTGCAAGATTCAGGATTTGATCCAGCATTCCACGGTAATTTTCACGATATCGTTGGGTCGATCGTCGCCGCTAGTTTCGACCGAAATTATCTGCTTAAACGAGAAATCGATCTTCGATATTGTCGTTATCGAATAGGCATCGATCGATAACGACAATATCGTTATAATAACAGTCGGTCTCTATTGAGAGACAGCTCGCGCCAGTTTGTACATACATGCAAACCAACTAAATATGTATAAGTTGCTGGCCAACAGAAATAAGAATTTATGGAATTTTCAACGAAACAGACTCTTTCATAATTCAAAGAAACATCATCAAACGAAGGTTGTTCTACTAAAGATCAATCCAAAAAGAATCGATCCAACTGTCTAAGAACCAACGAGCAAACGTACCTTTTTGCACACAGTTTAAAGGAAGAGTAATTGAAACAACGAACCTATTTCGACAGAAACTGGTGCTCGAGATCTTCTTGTTCGCTTGGAGCCTCGGAGAAACGTTTGATCCACGTTGCTACGTGAAACGTGTCTATGTGAAACAAACACGGGTGTCCTTAATTTGTCAGGGTTTTTCTTAACAAGCGGCAACTTATTATTAGCCTACTTGGAGCAGCGTGCGTGTCATTTTTTATGGTTACAAGATCCCCCAGAAGTTTTTACTTTCCTCGCAGGCTGGCGTACTATGGCGTTCGACAATTACCGGAGGAGGAACACAGTCTTGAAGTCGTTTGAATCATTGTCCGTTGCACCTTGTCGGTCGTTCACAAGAGATGGAACATTATTGCGCCTGAGATTATTATCCTTGCTTGTTGAACATAATTCGTTCGCGTGTGTTTCGAAAGGCTCCTCGCGATCCTCCGAGTGTTGTATACGTTTTATATTGCCTAACGCGTGCGGAGCACCGGTGCTGCTCCAGTCTAACTCATAACGCGCAGCAATTCTCGGGTCACTCTCGCGATCGTGCATCAACGTCATGTATATCTCGTGTAGATTTCGTCGTTCCGAGATCCGAGGTCGAGCGAGCCGAAAAAAGAAAAAAAAAGAACAGATAAATCCGCTCCTCTTTTGAGTAGTTTTAAAGCTCCTGAGTAATCAGCACCCAACTCGTACTAGCTTCAATGAGTAACTTGTATAATTGTCTGTCATCCAATGGACTACAACTTTGAGATTGTAACGAGAGCTGCGTTTCGTGAGAAATTTGGATCCATCGAAACACGTTGAAAACTACAGCATCGTGTTCTTTGCAAACATTCCTTCAAATATAAAACAAAATACGCACGCTGTTAAAATTCGTAACCACGGCAGAGGATTCTATCGACGTAATTTTCTATTCAAGCAGCGCTTCACCGCTGATTAACTGTCGTTTGAATTGTTCCTGATCGTTGCCATTTACCCGTGGTACAATTGCAGTTGCAAAAATGGTATGAAATTGATGTGAGAAAGAAAAAGCTGAAGTAGCACAACTAGATACTGCATCACGACCGCTGAGCTCGTGCGATAATCGCTTGCGCAATGCCGCGCGATCGTGCTCATCGCCTCAATGAAGATCGATTGATCTTCCATTGATGCATATTCTTCCATGTAAAAATACGATTTTACATACAATTGTCGTACTACACGGTATTATATTTCTCTTATATTTTTATTTCTTACTTGCGAGAGTGATTTTCAAAGAAGTTCCACTGTACGAGCGTAATTTGCAATCTGTTTGAAACGAAAGTGGAAAATCATATCTCACGTGTCACTGATGGTAGCTGTATGTTTCTGCGAGCTCGTAAGTTACTAACGCGTTATAATCCGTGCTATTCCAAAGCAACGGAGAGACATTCTTTTCCATGCAAATGAGAAGTAAACGAAGCCGCTCTGCGATTCCTACGTGCTCTGGATCTGGATCTTGCTCAAATATCTTTCATCGATACCGCGCAAACGCGATGAGACGTACGATCTACATACATGCATGTATATAAATGTTGCATATCTATAGGCAAATGACTATGCAACTAGACCAAAAAATCGCGCGAATATGGCCGATAAACTGTCGCGGAATTTTCTCAACGCTATCGTGCCAGTCACATTCGTAGATTCAAGGGAATCTATGGCATACTCATGTGAATTTGCTCCTTGATATCGTAACGGCAATCTCGAACGGCGTAAATATCTTCAATAATTAGCAACGCTAGAGGAAATTGCGAAATCGTTGAACCTCGCTCGACGTATCTCGCCTGCGCTCCTCTGACTTTACACGCTTTCGCCCGAACGCGTTCCTTCGTAATTATCAAAGTATCGTACTTGGCCGTGATCGGTAAGAAGCTCGTATTGTTTTAAACGAAAATACACAAGCTGCATCCTTAATTGCGTAGTGACGCGTAGTCGTGCAGTGTAAAAGTATTACAACGAGATGCACAACCGACAGGATAGAACGTCGAGCGATTCGAGCAATGCTGCTTTTGCTCATTAATCACGAACGAGCGTTATAAAAGTGTTTATTGACGCGTAATAACTCGACAACTCGGGGATCCTAGCGCAACTTCAGCCGGCTAGCTCGACGTGTTGCCTCGGGGATACGTACGTACGTGACACATTTGTCCTTGCGTTACATTTAGTTTGCTCTAAATCTACGCTGACATTGTTCGAGCGAGCCTCGAATTATAAATCGTAGAACATTGTCGACGTTGTGCAATGAAATGCACGATATAATTAAGACGTGAATCTTCTCGAAATACTGCTACATTAGCTGTCGCAACGTTCCCAATCGTTCCCAAGGTGATTCAGATCGATCGAAACGTTTTGGAAAAGCGCTTGCGCCATAGAAAATGATTCGGCTCCGCTATCCGTAGTAATAACACCTCGGATCGGTAGCACTGGATCAATTTGTCAATTTTAATAACGCCGCTGCTATTCGAATAATTACGTGCACAAGTGTACAGCGTGCAAGTATATACCTACGTGTATCGGTATTAATTTCACCTATTGCGTACAATAAATTTCATTAATTTCGATTTTTAGCGGCAGAATAACTGGCAAAAGATACGTATCCTAAGTCTATCGTTTCGTCAGAATAACGATTTCGTAGGCAGCAAAATTTCATCGTGAAATACATTGCATGCAATAGCGCGAAAAGTCTTGCCGTAAGCTTCGTTACGGTACAATAAATGAAATTTTTGCACGCTTGAAAGTAGGTGTTCCGTTCGTTCGCGATATAATCGTCAAAAACGTTGCAGCCATCATCCGGTTCTAAATTGTTTCGAAAGGTGGGCCACTCGTTTTTTCTTCCTTTCTTCTTCTTTTTTTTTTTTAAGTAAACGACTGGAGAAACTAGACTAATAAAAAGATTACCATTTTACCTGCTGCTGCCCTCGCGAGAACTTCACGGAACTCGAATCGCGATTTTTCTCGAATCGTAAGAGAGTCATTCCAGTCGATTTCGTGAAAAAGATCAATTAGACTTTGATACGTTATCTCTCATCGCCTCCGTCGTACACAGAATGTATCAATTACTCAACGAACATACGTCCCGTTGTCAGTAAGAATTTCACTCTTGACAAAGAACGTAGAGGAAGTTGTTTTACATCGCTCCGCTACGCATATCGTCTCGTTCTGCCCTCGTTAATCATGCGACAAGTCAAAAGGACTCGAAACAATGTAATCTCAATCGGGTCATTAATTATTCACGAGACCTTGCATCGCGTTCCACAACAATACGGTATTTTTCCAATTGGACGCTTCCGGATGATCCTTGAATCAGGATCTACATCTCGTGGGTGGACGTGAAACGGCGAGAAACGTGGGCGCGGTTCGCGATAATGGATATCGCGTGAGAACGAAGCACGTGCACAGTCTCGCACTCGTCTGGTCTCGCAGTCGATCCGTTTCAAGCAAGTACTTGAATACCATTCGATCGATCAAGACAAAATAAACGATC